CGTAATTGCTGAAACAGATGAACCGAATGGAATAACAAAAAAATTGTCACAACTTCAACACCAGACTTAACGGGCATGCACAATATGCTTCTACAAGTCAGACGCTGTTCATTAGACTGTCTATTTTTCAACGAACACAAAGGAAAAAGCGAACGCGAGTGCGAAGCACGAGGGGGTGGGGGCAAAGAAGCGAGCAAAGCGAGCGACTTATCTCCGTCCCTACCCCTTCCCCGTCAAAACTCCCGTTTCGCGCTTGCGCCCAGTTAAGTTCTCTCGCGATTGTACTCTCGCGTTCAACGATTGATTAAAAATTCGAGAATACTTGGGGACAAGCTGTTCACAAAAACTGTCTTTCGAGAGATAGTGCCCACCTACATCATTTGGCGTATTATTAAGTTCTATATTTTCTGTCCTTTTGTTTTGCGCTGCGCAGAAAAGATATGCAATTTTTTCGTGTTATGCTTAAACACAGTTAGAGTGAACTATGGCTTAAACTAGCTAGGGGTATGACATCTCTAAGCACAATGGTTTGCATCATAACAAATTCAACTCTAGCCTCGCCTCTGTTCAAAGGTCTGATCAGTGAGCACGGATCTGTAAAATGGGCTATTAGCCTTCGATTCGCTATCGAGGAAAATAAAGAATGAAAGGCGAGTAAGAATATTAACTTAAAAGAGCAAAAGAAATCAAACATTGGCTTTACGAAAGTATAAAACCCCTATTTATTTGCTTTTGAGCACTGTTTTCTCTACAATATTGCAAACACCAAATAAAAATATGTATATAAAAAAAAGTTTAATCTTGATTAAACCCGACATGATTATCTTTCTTTAAAAGGCTAAAAAACCAACGAAATCCGGATCCATTTTCACCCGTGAATATTGCTGCCTTGTCGCAGTATAATGTTGAGAAAACACCATTAAAACAGTTACAACCCTTACAAAAACATTGGAAAACTGAGCCTTCATGTAGCTTAGCTGTTAACGAACAAAAATATTTCCGTGTGGATTTACCACACCTTTTAACTGGTTTGCTTGGTTTTTTCCACATGGATCATGGGTAGGCATATTAGTACTTGTACTACCATCAAAGTAATAATAGAGGCTGCTGCTGGAGAGATATGGTCCGCGAGAGTACAGCGTCAATGATTTGGGCACCACACCAGCACACCGCTTAGAGACCTGTTTAACCTGCTTACAAGTGATTGATCCCGCCTTCCATTGCACCAAGCTGCCAGTGCCTTCCTTGCATGCGATCCAGTTGTTGATGTTGCTCTTGATCAGGAATTCTTTMCCAATGKYGCGCCACAAAGCAAAGTTCATGGCCTCGTAATGTGTCTCACTCAGTGGAACTGTTGTAGACACTCGAGTGTTAGCTCCACTGGCTGTCCAGCTTGGACGCGGCGTGACAGCGTTTGCTCCACTCGTGAAACTTGAGTAGGCTGTGAAGGTGTAACTCCAAACTAGTGTCCACCCTCCACCGTCCGTCTGTTGGTCACAGTAGGCCTGAAATGCGTTACCATGGGAACCACCATCAGGATCTATCCAATAGTCGCCTGACACGAGTGATGGCGCTTTCTGTTTCAAGTCCTTGCAGTTCAACACTGGAGACGACTTGCTCAATCCTGCGTTAAGTAACGGAAGAAAAAGTATTTAAATATAGGTTGTCACGGCTTTTTTCTCGACCGGAGTTTTTTTGTACAATGTCGAGGGAGAGGCAGTTTTGTGATTAAACTTTAAAAATTTAAGCGCTGGTGTCAATCTTACAGGCAAAGAGAAATTACATCAATCATTGTAAGTAAGGTGCTCTGAGTTCTCAATCGTTTTACGCAATGAAGTAAGTAAATTACCTATAGGGCTTTGTTCTTCCAGATGATATTTTCCACTGGTCAGTCGCTTGATGATCTCGTACTTGCAGAGCAGAGCGTTCTTGTGAAAGTAAAGATTACCTTTTAAGTCCATCTCCAACACTTTATATCTCTGCTGATTCAATCCTCTGATGGTTAAAATAAAAATGATTTTAATTTTGATAGTTGAAGTTTTAGATATGTTCCCTATAATCAAGCAATAAATCAGCAACAGTTAAGTACCGTTTTATTTTCATAGTGTTCTTTGAGGGAATTAAAGAAATTTTACATTTAAAAGCGTATCAAGAAAAATTCATTTTAGTGAGTTTTAGTGACTAAATCGGGGGTGACAAATGAGGTAAAATTTTGATCCTATCTCGAAATTAATTAAAATCCCAATCATATCAACAATGGGAGACGTGATATACAAGTAATTTTTTCTAAATTGCAAATCGAGACCAAAAAAAAAGATGATAAACTGGCGTAGGCCACGTGATTTGCACAGAATCTATTAAAATACCGATTGCTTTGGATTATCGTTGAGTTGACTCAAATAGATGAATGGCGTGAAGTACAATTGATTTTCTCACCTTGTTGCCGTCAAACAGGAGAAGAAGAACAAACCCAACAGAATACGGAACATCATTTCCTTTCCACGATCAGAGCCGAAGGAGTACTGATAGCCTCTACTGTCGATCTGTACTGTATTCTTGTTACAAGAATAATGGTCCACAGAGAAACGTTGACTCAGTATAATCATATTAATGCATAATTTATAAGATAACAAGATAGAACTCGTAGCATTTTTTTTATGACTAGTTTTAGTTTTCATCCAATGGTTGGCTTCGAGAAAATGATGCTTATGACAGAATTACGACAACAAGATATCCTTTGAAATACTTTGGGACGTATATTTTATTTGCCCTGTTTTTTTCCTATAAGCGCAAATTAATCATTTAAAAATCGGTACATTTTGGCGTTTGCGCTGATTGTGAAAACCTATTTTGTGAGTCTCCTAACGGCCTCGTTGAGAGAGACTGAGAGATCGATGTCTTTTACATGTTTGTGTAGAAGCCATTATGTGGGTAAAACCAAACCCTTTTTCGGATACGAAGAGACGGTAAATAGCTGAGAATTGGTCAAAATTTTAACTGTCAACTGAGAAATAACGCGTTTTTAAGCCGAGAATTAAGATCTGCAAAATTCACTGATATAGTTGACTGAGAAAAATGGGGTTAAAAGGTTTACTGAATGGCAGAGAATTCGCCGAAAATGCAACTAATAACGGAGATTCCAGCACACCTATTCGGACCCTGATATTGGCCAACTTCATTCATAGACGGCCCAAAGTTAATTTACGTTCCGTTTGTTTAGTCAGTTTCCGCCTAGTATATCTTGGAACAGATGCTATCTGCGAATAACGTTTGAGTGTCTACATGTTTATCCAGTTGGGCAAGTCAAAGTCTACTGAAAAAATCTTTAGCGTAATATTGATCGAATGACCCAACAACGCAAAAGAAAGCGATGTTACTGCATTACAAAGCTGTAACTTTTAAGAAATTAAGAAAACGCGGCTTCCATTATCAAGACATCAAGACTGTATGTATACGAATGACGGCATGAATTTATTTAGTAAATTGTTGATCTAAGAAAAAACTCTACATCGCTTTAGTTTGATTACATTATTCTACGTTATTTTCCGGAAATATGCCACAACTGCGTAAAAATATGAAACGAACCTCGCAAGAGAATAACTAGCAATTTAGTGATGACTATGTTGATCGAGTAACTGTGATTCCTTAACCAAAACCATTGGCTACCTTTCTAATATTTTCACTTACTTGAGTCGATTCTCTCCATTCGTGGGGAATCAGGAACTACAAATACCACGCTTTTGGAGTCAAAATTACTTGCCATCAGCTTCCCCTTCCTCTCTACCCGCTGCCTTTATGTCTCCGTCTTGGTCTGCTCCCACCTCTTGTCTCAGCTCTACCGATCCCAAATCAGTGCAGACTCGGTTCCTTCACCCTCCATTTCGTAACACAATCAGCTGCACTACCCCCAAATTACACTGCCGGAGTTGTCCTTGTCTTCCGCCAAGTTCTGTTGTTTGATTAGCCCCCTTCATCCTTCAGTCGACTTCAGTGAACTCATCATTTTCTTCACTCTGTTCGACCGTAGACCGCCATTATCCACCGTAGACACTTCTGAATACCTCTGGTCTCGGCCTCGTTAATTAGGGATTACCGGAGCGGCTCCGTCTGTCAAGTTTTTCCCGTTTAGTCTAGCTGTTACGATCGCTTCTCTAGCACACGCTACTGAAGAGAAGCGTCAAGTTAATGCATCGACTGTTGAAACACATTCGTTACAGTAAACGTGATCCACCGAGGAATCGGAAAAATTTCTTCGACAATCCACATTTCTCATCCTATACTCATCACTGTATGCAGTAGGAGAAATTTGCGGTGTAATAAACGTGGCGAAAATTTTGATATTCACCATTTTGAAAGTGAGTTAAATTTTCTCTCTAGCGAAAAATCAAAGTGTTTATTAGGGCATCATCGTAATGCCAACAAGTTTCTCTAAAATTTGCGTTCGGAAATATTCACAATATGTAAATAGATAGAGGGAAGAAAAAGAAAAGATTTAAGTAATTTTAATATGTCATGACTGAAAAGAACATGCGTCTAATTTTTTTGCTACAAAATTTCAAACGGTATTATAATTATAAAAAAATGTGATAATATTTGTTGCCCTTGTAAAACAGCCGCTTTTTCAGCTTCCTATTCTAATTGTCTGTAAAGCGGTGGCTGGTTTTGTAAGAATGATGTCAAGGAAAAAAAAATAAAGAGAAAGATTTGACAGAATGTCGGTTTTTCGTTTGCCTTGGACCATTTCAGCAAATAAAGTTTGGTTTGTTTTATGACTGTCCTAATGAGAATTGCAACTGCGCACTATAGAAAACTCGACGAAGCGCTTTGATTTTGCTCCAACCGACCGTACAGTAAAGCTTAGTCACATGCAGTTTGAAGAAAAATCGCCGTAGTTTCGACTTGGCGAAGTAAAATTTGACGAATAAGAAATGTAACATACTGTGTCTTGAGAACTAGTTACAGCCTTGTTCAAACATCGAACTTTTACACGTTCTTCGGTAGCAGCATAATGCAAATGTATGAATGTTGAAGTCAACGGCTCCTGCTTTCTGTTCTTGCTCGCCTAATTTCAATCCCGCTTATAACAAAGTAATAGTAGTAAACAAGAATTAATTTTTCACTGGTCGCGATTATTTCAGATGTAAAATGAAATACGTGCATCACAACATTAATTTTCCATTTTGTGAATGTCAACAAACTGATAATGGTGGCATTTATTTTTTTTTTTGACAAATCAAAATTATAAGCTTCGAATTCGAAGACGAAAAATCAAATACACGGTGCAAATAATTGTGATGTTGATTCAAATAATCTGGAGAAATTGGAATGACTGGAAGGGGAGAGGGGGAAACGCGGCTGAATTTACGCAAATGCAAACCGTTAAGTTTCCTTTCTGCTGTAAAGTTTCTACACAGGTTTTCGAAACAAAATGTGTGCAGTGTAATCTACATAAAAAAAGGGCATACACCCAACTCTCTCAAGACGGACACCATTGGGACCAGCCTCAGCTGTCCGTCGTAGAGGTGTCCGGCTTGTAGAGAGTCGACGCGTACGTAACATGACCCCAGGAATTTTAAGATAATAATGCTGAACCTGTGCACAGTGAATACGCGACTGCTTAAAGTTTGTTTTAAGTTATTTACATGAACGAAACCTACAAACTGGAACAAAAAGAAATTTATTAAATTGAATCTCTTGTCGTATTACAATCAATAGTTAATGAGTGAACTAGAGTCCAAACAGTGAACGGCTGTTTTTTTCTGTAAAGAGTCACGTACTTGGTAATTTAAGAATTTTTCTTCCCTAAATCGAAATTTGCGGTCACATTGAGCACCTCACAAGTGTCCGTTGAAGATTTCAAAGTGTCCGTTGTCCGTCTTATGGAGGTGTCCGTCTTATAGAGAGTTTGATTATAGTAAAATGACTGAGAAACGGCCGGGACCAGCACCAGGTGTCCGTCTTATAGAGGTGTCCGTTAAGACAGAGTTGACTGTATTCCGTTGCCAGTATATATAATAAAAGTAAAATTGTCGATACTCCTCGAGTATTATGGTGTAAATAACCATAGGCTTGAAGACGTGAATGAGGCAAACTTCTTTGGCAAAAGAATATTTTAATTTGTGCAATATTGGACAAAATATCAGCTATTCTTTACGTTATCTTGCAGAACAAGTACGTTTCTATTTTGAATTGAAGCTACTCCTTTCAATGTGGGCAGTTTACATCTATACAATACAAAAACTTTATTGACCCTCCCCTAGTGAGGCCTTACATCAGGAGTTGCCAAGCAACATGACCTTCCGTCACGATGGCAAGCTGGCGTGACAACTTTCGATGGCTGCGTATTTGTGGTTGGTCACTTTTTCCACCGGAAACAGTTCGAGTCCTAAGAAGTGAACTGACCAAAACGCAACAGGTTAGCTTCGTCTGAAGGGATCTGTAACTTCTCTTTGCCTAACGTAAGCTTTTCCAAACGATTGAAAATGGGCATTCATCACTAGAAAGCTCAATAAACCAAGTTGAGAAAAATCCAAGCGTTTCTTGAGTTAAAATTACAACAGTATATTCCCTCAAAGAGGATTTTTTCGAAGTTCAAAGCTGCTGTCTCTTTTCTCATTCTAACCACGTGGCTCGCGAACGTTTACAAGCGAGCCACACCCAGTGCTAATGGCCAGGAAATCCGAAGACAAAGAGAAAGTTCAGTGAACGTTAACACGTACACATGTACATTGAAACCTTGTTTCTAACACTGGTTATTTTCTAGATCCTAAGAGCTAAAAAATAGTGTACAAAGAGATAATTAAAGAAACAAGACATTAATACTTCAAAAAAAGTGTTAAGGTGATTTCATTAAATTAAAAGTCCATGGTACAAAAATCTGTTTTTTTTTCCTCTCTCAAACAAGTCTAAATCTAGTAACAGAGACAAACCTAAAAAAAAGAAAGCTAAATTGGCTTACTCTACGTATTTGTTGCACACAAGGACGCAAAATTACCTGTGACATGACTACAAATTATTTTTGCAAGACGTTTCTTTTCCTATAGTATAACTAAGCCATACATGTAACTATCTACTGCACTTAATTTCAATGCATTTTCCCCAAGTGTGGTGAATGCATGTCGCGTAGATATAATTAACTTAACTCACAAAACCCTTATAATTTAAGCCAGTATCGGTGTGACGGAGGACATGTCACCCTGAAATTTTAAAACAAGGGAACCATTCTAAGTGCTTTAACTCAACTTTCCACGAGCAGTGGAATCCAGACCAGCGATAATTAGTTACATGATTGCCAATCAAGAATTTCTCCTGACTTTTCACACTGTTTTCTATTTACTGTTTGAATTTTCTCGTGCAGAAAATGATATTCACTGACAACAATGAAAGAAAATCTACAATACTCTCCACGAAAATCTGCAGCAACAACAAACTCATCACTTTGGCGAGAAATTTAGAATTTCCCTAATCAGATACTAATTCTAGGGATGTAAATAATAGGCTGAGTACAAAAAGTCGACTGCTGAAGGATCTGTTTTCAGGGTACAAAGAAGACAGATCTTCAGGGTTGCTCTATCTATGATTTATCTATGATTTAAGAAGCCTCATTGCACTTTGGACAAGTGAAGGACAGACAGAATCCACCACCCTGAATGGAAAATCCGTTGGACCTCGACTATCAGACAGGACTTTCCTTGCACACACTGTTTCTTGATTTCTCTGGCTGAGAAAACATCTCTTTGTTTACTGTAACCCAGTGATCAAGAAAATTTGCACCTCCAAGAGATTTTAGCTATATTCAGGGCTTGAAAAAATACTTGAATTCCAGCTTACCTTTCAGATAACAGCTCTCAATTTTTGCTTGCCCTGGGCAAGTCCAAGTTTAATTTTTTTCTAATTTAGTTGGCAGATGATTTGCCTGGGCAAGTGAGAATGAAAAGTTGCTTGCCTGGCAGAAAAATCTACTTGTTCCGAACTACTGGATGACACTTTTTTTTTTGAGCCCTGTACATATACATCAAGGCTGTGGTCTAAGAAAAATTAAGAGGAGCCCAAAGGTTCCAAGCATAAAATCCTGGGTACCCAGAACTTAAGCTTATATGAAAAAAAGTAAGTTTTTCCAGTCACCCAAAGGCAATAGTCAGTCGCCTGTGGCACCGGGACGCTTCTGGAGCACAGCCCTGTACATGTACATCTGTGAAATTTCCAGACTTTTTCCCTATTCTCCCATACTTTAAACTGATCTGTACCAAGTCCCTGCAAAATGCTAAACAGTCTGGAAGAAAAAGGCCCTAGCACAGGGCGAGAGGGTGTGCTTAAACAAACACTTTGCAACAAACAGGAAGAACATTACAACCTATACTAGATGCACTTGCCACTACAAATGAATTACTTTCCTTCTATCTCATTTTTGGGCATTTCTTCCATCAGATGGTAAATTAAAAATATTGTGAAGACAAGAAAAACTACAACGGCAAGTAAAATTTGAATGTGAGGACCACAAATGCCTTTTTCTTCTTTGGTTGGTGGAGACTTCTTCTTGACAGCTACAGTTTCCACAGAATCAGTTTGTTTCACACTGTTCCCTGTATCGTTGCTGTAAGTTTGTCTAGTCTGCTGTTGTGTTGTCACTGTGCTTGTAACAACTCTTTTTCTGGGTGTTGATGTTGATGGTGTTGAACTCAATCTTGGAAGAGGAAGGTCTTCTGGGCGAGCAAATTGTTGATCTGTAAGTAGAGACAAACTGGAATCTTATATAAATGCATTAGGGTTAGTTTTCACTAACAAAGTAAAGTATAAACACAAGGCATACAAGTAATCTACATGTACGTATAGAAAGGCCCATACAAACATACATGGTACATTTATAAACATAAACACAAGCATAAGAACAAAGAACAGACTTGTTCTTCTTATGTACAATGTACTTGTAAGACAGTTGTAGCTTGTTACTGTATGTTGCTCTCAATAGGGATTACCACAGCACAAGCATAAGCATGTATAAAGTATTAAACTAAGCATAAGGCAGCATAAACCAAATGTTTGACGTGTTTTGTGCCTGAAAGTGTAAGCTCAAACTTCATTCCTAAGAAGAATGTATCAAATTCAAAGGCCTTTTATTTTAAACTAGACTGCCTAGATCTTTACTTCGATGTTATTGTGTGTTACTTCATTGTGCTTATTATATAATCTAATTACTTGTTTCACCTACACCGCTTTTTATATCATGCACAGTGGAATATTTTCTTTACATTCCCTGATGATCCCATAGATTGGTAAAAGCTTGGAATTAAAACAATAACAATAGCGGCTTCAACTGAATTGTCTATTAAGCACCCAACATGAAGGAAAACTTCAAAGTTTGATAATCCAAATAATTTAAGTAAAAGCATAAGAACATGAAAAACAAACAGAGCTATGCAGAAAAAAAAAAATCCAACCTCAGAATTCCTTTTCCAATTGTCAATACCATTCTTAGCTTTACATGTACATGTATTCTTGTAGTATAGAATTTATATCCTTATGCTTTGAATGGATTTGAACACATAACATTAAATTTATAGCAAGTGAGAATTTTTTTCTCCCTCTGTTTCTGCTCAAGACAAGCCGCAGGTTAGATGGTCATTTAAGTGAACATTCTTCAAAGTACCTTTCTGATCTTCATCCATGTTATAAGAGTCTAAACGTTCTACTGACTCCAGATCCATTTCATCTGCTGTAGCATCATCAGTACCATCTGAAAAGTCTTCATATTCCTTCTTAATCTTTCGTTCTGGTGGGGATGCCTTTGTTTGCTTGGGTGAGATTTTTGCTGAGGGTGGGATGGCAGGGTGTTTTAACTCCTCAGTCAGCAACTTAGCTAAGAGACGCACAAGGGAAGAATGGTTGAGTAATGTCAAATTTCTTGATCCTGGCAACTCAGGATGGCAGTAATAACTATTAATAGAATTCTACTAATATTTTTATTCAAATGCTGCAATCTGATTGGCTGAGCTACTAGTACACTATCAGACTTTGCATCTCCACCCTATCTGTAAGAGTAAAGAGGAAGTCCAATATAGTTTTAAAATAACTTAATAAGAATACATGTAGTTACATATTCCTTTGCATATAATTATGTTCCTTGCAATCACAGAGTATGCTAGGGCCACTTGCAGCCTGCAGTATAAGATGGTATATACGAAGATAAAGGAGACGAATAATTTATAACAATGTGTTGCCAACTTTATTTTGCTCTGAAATACAGTGCATTAAAAGCAAATTTCAACAATTAACATAATTAACATAATTCAAACAGCCCATAAGTCCCTGCCCCACACCACACCAATCCACCATATTATTGAGCGTACACAAGTGGACCGTAGGAAGGGTAAACGAGTTTGTAAATCAAGAGAACACAACTATTGCAAAAATTTATTCTGGAACAGCAAAACCTGTAAACAGAAGAAGAAGACAATGGATTAAACATAGGAAGCACCTGGTACATGTATGAGCACGACCTGAAAGGATGTGTCCTCAGAAAAGGGAGAGGCGGGATGGACATAGTAATATTCGTCTCCTTTATCTTCGTATAATCCATCTTATACTCCAGGCCGCAAGTGGCCCTAGCATAATCTGTGATTATACATACCTGTACTTCAGAACAGTCGCCTCATATAACAATGTGTTTTCAAAGGGGTCATGTTCACTGAATTGGTAAACTTTGCGCATTAAGCAATGTCTTAGTAATGCTAGAATTGTGTTTAAGCCTGTAATAAAAGCACCTGAATGTGGAGTTGGTTGACCAATCAGCAAGATCTACGATATCCTGCAAAGAAGCACCTCTTTCATAGGCAGCTGATGCAGATGCTCCTCTAACTGAGTGAGCTTTAAAAATACTTGTATCAATACCTGCCCAAGAGATTATATCCTTCAGCCACCTACTGAGGGAAGCACCTGAAATGGGCTTGTGGGGGCAAATGTATGATAACAAAAGCTTGTTGGGTTCTGATGGGTCCAAGGGACGGAATTCTGAAGTGCAACGTTCATAAACTCTAAGACACAACCACACAAAGGTTAGGATTTTCCTCAAAACTAGCATGAAATGAAGTTTTTAGATCCTGGCCTACTCGAGATTTCTTTGTTAAATCTGGGAGTGCAAAGGTCACTCCTTCAGGGTTAAAGTGCCTGTACCTAAGGTCATGAGAATCCACTTCAGATACCCTTTCCATTGCAGTAAGGGCTAAGAGAAAACCAAGTTTCTGGGATAAATCCTTGAGAGGGAGACTCGTTGAACCCTAAACCACTGATACAGGAAACAACAAGGCTGACATCCCAGGTACTAGAATATTGAGGTAACGGCGGTCTAAGCTTGTGTCAGTACCGAAGTACCTGTCTTTATTTGTTCTCAAAACAAACGTCGAAAACTCACAGTTCACAATGGGCCCAAACTTAAAATGCACACATCGACCGCACAACCTCGGTCAATGAACAAAGTCACAACAACTTGAATAAAACTTTTCGCTTCCATCAAAGGCATATGTGTATGAATGTATACGTAAGGTTTTCTGAAAATTACAAAAAGATATTAAGTTCCAAATGCTTCTTTGAATAGCAAAGGCGAAATGTTAACTTACTGAACTGTTTGCTTCGAGCTAAACGAACGGCACAATAACAACTTTTGACAAACTCCTGCGATTCAAAACACTCGCTTACTTGACTAACACATGGCGACTAAAGTCCAATGGTCACATCATGTGACCGACAAAAAAATCTCCCAAGGGGAGTCGGAGTGACAGCTTGTATGTTCCCTTTAACAGTTGAACCACTAAGGGGTGTTCCCCAACCCTAACTGAATCAATTTTATGGTGAGTACTAGAAATGGCAGACTGGTAAACATGAAGAGTCCTATAAGCTCTCCCAAGATTAAATTCAGAAGTGAGGAACTCTAAAATGGATGCTACAGAAGCTTGAACCGAATTAAGTTTCTGTTCTCGACACCAGCTATCCCATCTTCGCCAAGCTGATGTATAGGCCTTGGATGTTCCATCCCTCCAGGCTGCAACAAGTAGGGTTTGAGCTGATTGAAATGCGTACCTCTGAATATGATTGGCAGATAGTAGCCAACCTGCTGGTTGAAGGTTCAACAAGGGATGGACTTCCCCTTGTCGTGTCAGCAGGCCCTGTTAGTGAGGGAACAGAATGGGAGGTGCTACACACAACTTAAGAAGCAGAGGGTACCATGGCTGAGACTGCCAGACCAGGGCGACTAGAACAAGGTGTGACACATTCTGGTCTAGTAACTGTCTGAGGCAGTGGCCTACTAGAGCAAAGGGAGGGAATGCATATACCCTCACTTTGCTCCAGTCCTGAGAAAGTGCATCCACTGCCTCTGAATGAGAGTCTGGTCTCCAACTGTAAAACTGTGGAAGTTGCGTTGAGAGCCGAGAGGCAAACAGGTCTACCTCTAAGGGCTCCCAGACCTGATTTATCCGCAAACAACAAGGGGTCCAGTTTCCAGTCGTGATGGTCTAAACACACTCGAGATTCTCGGTTTGCTTGGATATTCAGTACCCCTGGTAAATACTGAGTCTCGATGAGGATATTGTGGTGAAGGCACCACTCCCATAGATCTAATGCCAGACATACAAGAACAGGGGATTTTGTGCCCCCATCTTGTTTATGAAATGGGCGGCAGTCAAATTCTCCATTAACAAGTGGACTCGCATTTGAACTTTGCCTTTCACAAAGATCTTGACAGCAAATGCCCCAGCCAGAAGTTCGAGACAATTTATGTGGAAAAGAGATTCCCCTTGAGACCATTGACCCCCTGTGGACACTCCGTTGCAAAATGNCAAAGAGGATTTTTTCGAAGTTCAAAGCTGCTGTCTCTTTTCTCATTCTAACCACGTGGCTCGCGAACGTTTACAAGCGAGCCACACCCAGTGCTAATGGCCAGGAAATCCGAAGACAAAGAGAAAGTTCAGTGAACGTTAACACGTACACATGTACATTGAAACCTTGTTTCTAACACTGGTTATTTTCTAGATCCTAAGAGCTAAAAAATAGTGTACAAAGAGATAATTAAAGAAACAAGACATTAATACTTCAAAAAAAGTGTTAAGGTGATTTCATTAAATTAAAAGTCCATGGTACAAAAATCTGTTTTTTTTTCCTCTCTCAAACAAGTCTAAATCTAGTAACAGAGACAAACCTAAAAAAAAGAAAGCTAAATTGGCTTACTCTACGTATTTGTTGCACACAAGGACGCAAAATTACCTGTGACATGACTACAAATTATTTTTGCAAGACGTTTCTTTTCCTATAGTATAACTAAGCCATACATGTAACTATCTACTGCACTTAATTTCAATGCATTTTCCCCAAGTGTGGTGAATGCATGTCGCGTAGATATAATTAACTTAACTCACAAAACCCTTATAATTTAAGCCAGTATCGGTGTGACGGAGGACATGTCACCCTGAAATTTTAAAACAAGGGAACCATTCTAAGTGCTTTAACTCAACTTTCCACGAGCAGTGGAATCCAGACCAGCGATAATTAGTTACATGATTGCCAATCAAGAATTTCTCCTGACTTTTCACACTGTTTTCTATTTACTGTTTGAATTTTCTCGTGCAGAAAATGATATTCACTGACAACAATGAAAGAAAATCTACAATACTCTCCACGAAAATCTGCAGCAACAACAAACTCATCACTTTGGCGAGAAATTTAGAATTTCCCTAATCAGATACTAATTCTAGGGATGTAAATAATAGGCTGAGTACAAAAAGTCGACTGCTGAAGGATCTGTTTTCAGGGTACAAAGAAGACAGATCTTCAGGGTTGCTCTATCTATGATTTATCTATGATTTAAGAAGCCTCATTGCACTTTGGACAAGTGAAGGACAGACAGAATCCACCACCCTGAATGGAAAATCCGTTGGACCTCGACTATCAGACAGGACTTTCCTTGCACACACTGTTTCTTGATTTCTCTGGCTGAGAAAACATCTCTTTGTTTACTGTAACCCAGTGATCAAGAAAATTTGCACCTCCAAGAGATTTTAGCTATATTCAGGGCTTGAAAAAATACTTGAATTCCAGCTTACCTTTCAGATAACAGCTCTCAATTTTTGCTTGCCCTGGGCAAGTCCAAGTTTAATTTTTTTCTAATTTAGTTGGCAGATGATTTGCCTGGGCAAGTGAGAATGAAAAGTTGCTTGCCTGGCAGAAAAATCTACTTGTTCCGAACTACTGGATGACACTTTTTTTTTTGAGCCCTGTACATATACATCAAGGCTGTGGTCTAAGAAAAATTAAGAGGAGCCCAAAGGTTCCAAGCATAAAATCCTGGGTACCCAGAACTTAAGCTTATATGAAAAAAAGTAAGTTTTTCCAGTCACCCAAAGGCAATAGTCAGTCGCCTGTGGCACCGGGACGCTTCTGGAGCACAGCCCTGTACATGTACATCTGTGAAATTTCCAGACTTTTTCCCTATTCTCCCATACTTTAAACTGATCTGTACCAAGTCCCTGCAAAATGCTAAACAGTCTGGAAGAAAAAGGCCCTAGCACAGGGCGAGAGGGTGTGCTTAAACAAACACTTTGCAACAAACAGGAAGAACATTACAACCTATACTAGATGCACTTGCCACTACAAATGAATTACTTTCCTTCTATCTCATTTTTGGGCATTTCTTCCATCAGATGGTAAATTAAAAATATTGTGAAGACAAGAAAAACTACAACGGCAAGTAAAATTTGAATGTGAGGACCACAAATGCCTTTTTCTTCTTTGGTTGGTGGAGACTTCTTCTTGACAGCTACAGTTTCCACAGAATCAGTTTGTTTCACACTGTTCCCTGTATCGTTGCTGTAAGTTTGTCTAGTCTGCTGTTGTGTTGTCACTGTGCTTGTAACAACTCTTTTTCTGGGTGTTGATGTTGATGGTGTTGAACTCAATCTTGGAAGAGGAAGGTCTTCTGGGCGAGCAAATTGTTGATCTGTAAGTAGAGACAAACTGGAATCTTATATAAATGCATTAGGGTTAGTTTTCACTAACAAAGTAAAGTATAAACACAAGGCATACAAGTAATCTACATGTACGTATAGAAAGGCCCATACAAACATACATGGTACATTTATAAACATAAACACAAGCATAAGAACAAAGAACAGACTTGTTCTTCTTATGTACAATGTACTTGTAAGACAGTTGTAGCTTGTTACTGTATGTTGCTCTCAATAGGGATTACCACAGCACAAGCATAAGCATGTATAAAGTATTAAACTAAGCATAAGGCAGCATAAACCAAATGTTTGACGTGTTTTGTGCCTGAAAGTGTAAGCTCAAACTTCATTCCTAAGAAGAATGTATCAAATTCAAAGGCCTTTTATTTTAAACTAGACTGCCTAGATCTTTACTTCGATGTTATTGTGTGTTACTTCATTGTGCTTATTATATAATCTAATTACTTGTTTCACCTACACCGCTTTTTATATCATGCACAGTGGAATATTTTCTTTACATTCCCTGATGATCCCATAGATTGGTAAAAGCTTGGAATTAAAACAATAACAATAGCGGCTTCAACTGAATTGTCTATTAAGCACCCAACATGAAGGAAAACTTCAAAGTTTGATAATCCAAATAATTTAAGTAAAAGCATAAGAACATGAAAAACAAACAGAGCTATGCAGAAAAAAAAAAATCCAACCTCAGAATTCCTTTTCCAATTGTCAATACCATTCTTAGCTTTACATGTACATGTATTCTTGTAGTATAGAATTTATATCCTTATGCTTTGAATGGATTTGAACACATAACATTAAATTTATAGCAAGTGAGAATTTTTTTCTCCCTCTGTTTCTGCTCAAGACAAGCCGCAGGTTAGATGGTCATTTAAGTGAACATTCTTCAAAGTACCTTTCTGATCTTCATCCATGTTATAAGAGTCTAAACGTTCTACTGACTCCAGATCCATTTCATCTGCTGTAGCATCATCAGTACCATCTGAAAAGTCTTCATATTCCTTCTTAATCTTTCGTTCTGGTGGGGATGCCTTTGTTTGCTTGGGTGAGATTTTTGCTGAGGGTGGGATGGCAGGGTGTTTTAACTCCTCAGTCAGCAACTTAGCTAAGAGACGCACAAGGGAAGAATGGTTGAGTAATGTCAAATTTCTTGATCCTGGCAACTCAGGATGGCAGTAATAACTATTAATAGAATTCTACTAATATTTTTATTCAAATGCTGCAATCTGATTGGCTGAGCTACTAGTACACTATCAGACTTTGCATCTCCACCCTATCTGTAAGAGTAAAGAGGAAGTCCAATATAGTTTTAAAATAACTTAATAAGAATACATGTAGTTACATATTCCTTTGCATATAATTATGTTCCTTGCAATCACAGAGTATGCTAGGGCCACTTGCAGCCTGCAGTATAAGATGGTATATACGAAGATAAAGGAGACGAATAATTTATAACAATGTGTTGCCAACTTTATTTTGCTCTGAAATACAGTGCATTAAAAGCAAATTTCAACAATTAACATAATTAACATAATTCAAACAGCCCATAAGTCCCTGCCCCACACCACACCAATCCACCATATTATTGAGCGTACACAAGTGGACCGTAGGAAGGGTAAACGAGTTTGTAAATCAAGAGAACACAACTATTGCAAAAATTTATTCTGGAACAGCAAAACCTGTAAACAGAAGAAGAAGACAATGGATTAAACATAGGAAGCACCTGGTACATGTATGAGCACGACCTGAAAGGATGTGTCCTCAGAAAAGGGAGAGGCGGGATGGACATAGTAATATTCGTCTCCTTTATCTTCGTATAATCCATCTTATACTCCAGGCCGCAAGTGGCCCTAGCATAATCTGTGATTATACATACCTGTACTTCAGAACAGTCGCCTCATATAACAATGTGTTTTCAAAGGGGTCATGTTCACTGAATTGGTAAACTTTGCGCATTAAGCAATGTCTTAGTAATGCTAGAATTGTGTTTAAGCCTGTAATAAAAGCACCTGAATGTGGAGTTGGTTGACCAATCAGCAAGATCTACGATATCCTGCAAAGAAGCACCTCTTTCATAGGCAGCTGATGCAGATGCTCCTCTAACTGAGTGAGCTTTAAAAATACTTGTATCAATACCTGCCCAAGAGATTATATCCTTCAGCCACCTACTGAGGGAAGCACCTGAAATGGGCTTGTGGGGGCAAATGTATGATAACAAAAGCTTGTTGGGTTCTGATGGGTCCAAGGGACGGAATTCTGAAGTGCAACGTTCATAAACTCTAAGACACAACCACACAAAGGTTAGGATTTTCCTCAAAACTAGCATGAAATGAAGTTTTTAGATCCTGGCCTACTCGAGATTTCTTTGTTAAATCTGGGAGTGCAAAGGTCACTCCTTCAGGGTTAAAGTGCCTGTACCTAAGGTCATGAGAATCCACTTCAGATACCCTTTCCATTGCAGTAAGGGCTAAGAGAAAACCAAGTTTCTGGGATAAATCCTTGAGAGGGAGACTCGTTGAACCCTAAACCACTGATACAGGAAACAACAAGGCTGACATCCCAGGTACTAGAATATTGAGGTAACGGCGGTCTAAGCTTGTGTCAGTACCGAAGTACCTGTCTTTATTTGTTCTCAAAACAAACGTCGAAAACTCACAGTTCACAATGGGCCCAAACTTAAAATGCACACATCGACCGCACAACCTCGGTCAATGAACAAAGTCACAACAACTTGAATAAAACTTTTCGCTTCCATCAAAGGCATATGTGTATGAATGTATACGTAAGGTTTTCTGAAAATTACAAAAAGATATTAAGTTCCAAATGCTTCTTTGAATAGCAAAGGCGAAATGTTAACTTACTGAACTGTTTGCTTCGAGCTAAACGAACGGCACAATAACAACTTTTGACAAACTCCTGCGATTCAAAACACTCGCTTACTTGACTAACACATGGCGACTAAAGTCCAATGGTCACATCATGTGACCGACAAAAAAATCTCCCAAGGGGAGTCGGAGTGACAGCTTGTATGTTCCCTTTAACAGTTGAACCACTAAGGGGTGTTCCCCAACCCTAACTGAATCAATTTTATGGTGAGTACTAGAAATGGCAGACTGGTAAACATGAAGAGTCCTATAAGCTCTCCCAAGATTAAATTCAGAAGTGAGGAACTCTAAAATGGATGCTACAGAAGCTTGAACCGAATTAAGTTTCTGTTCTCGACACCAGCTATCCCATCTTCGCCAAGCTGATGTATAGGCCTTGGATGTTCCATCCCTCCAGGCTGCAACAAGTAGGGTTTGAGCTGATTGAAATGCGTACCTCTGAATATGATTGGCAGATAGTAGCCAACCTGCTGGTTGAAGGTTCAACAAGGGATGGACTTCCCCTTGTCGTGTCAGCAGGCCCTGTTAGTGAGGGAACAGAATGGGAGGTGCTACACACAACTTAAGAAGCAGAGGGTACCATGGCTGAGACTGCCAGACCAGGGCGACTAGAACAAGGTGTGACACATTCTGGTCTAGTAACTGTCTGAGGCAGTGGCCTACTAGAGCAAAGGGAGGGAATGCATATACCCTCACTTTGCTCCAGTCCTGAGAAAGTGCATCCACTGCCTCTGAATGAGAGTCTGGTCTCCAACTGTAAAACTGTGGAAGTTGCGTTGAGAGCCGAGAGGCAAACAGGTCTACCTCTAAGGGCTCCCAGACCTGATTTATCCGCAAACAACAAGGGGTCCAGTTTCCAGTCGTGATGGTCTAAACACACTCGAGATTCTCGGTTTGCTTGGATATTCAGTACCCCTGGTAAATACTGAGTCTCGATGAGGATATTGTGGTGAAGGCACCACTCCCATAGATCTAATGCCAGACATACAAGAACAGGGGATTTTGTGCCCCCATCTTGTTTATGAAATGGGCGGCAGTCAAATTCTCCATTAACAAGTGGACTCGCATTTGAACTTTGCCTTTCACAAAGATCTTGACAGCAAATGCCCCAGCCAGAAGTTCGAGACAATTTATGTGGAAAAGAGATTCCCCTTGAGACCATTGACCCCCTGTGGACACTCCGTTGCAAAATGCCCCCCAACCTTGTCGGGAGGCATCTGTCTCGATTACTAAGTCTGGAAAACCCGAAACCAGAGCTTTTCCTTTCCAAGCTTCCAGGTTGTCCCTCCCCCAAACCAATTCCTCTTTGTCCTGAGGAGAAAGGGGAGTAGCGGAGTCGTAGGCTTAAGAATGTACTAAAGCCCTGTTTTTCTCGTTTTGCAAGTGGCGGAAGTGAAGGGGCCCTGGAAAGACAGCTTGAATGGTAGAGGTAAGGTGTCCCAGTAACTTGGCTAGTTGTCTCACCTTTACTAACAGCGAGTCCAGTAAGGTCTGACACTCCTTTCTTACATTCTTGATTTTGTCCCGAGGGAGTGCAAGGGACAGAGTGATGGAGTCTATCACAAATCCTAGAAATTCCATCTTTGTGGAGGGGACTAGGACTGACTTCAGAAAGTTTATCATGAAGCCCAACCCTTCCAAAAGATCTAGAGCAGTTGAGGCATGTTGGAGGGCAATGTCCCAGGATTGAACCATTATAAGTATGTTGTCTAAATAGTTTCTCAGTCTGCTGCCCAGTTGTCATAACAGGCCTACTACAGGTTTCATAAGTTTCGTGAAGACTCTGGGAGCACTTGCCAGCCCGAAGGGTGGGTAGGCAAACTCGTACACCATTTCTTTCCAAACAAACCTCAGAGACTTTTGGTTGTTCTGCCAGACAGGCCCAAGGGTCTTTGCTTATAACCCGGTTTGAAATGCAATGTTTCAGGCGTCCTGCTAAGGGGAGGTGATTTACGGCTAAAGGATTTAAATATAACATCATACCTGGTGGCAAGTGAGAAGGCCTCTCTACTGGGTGGCCAGAGGGATTTGCTGCAGGGCTCCTCTGGCAGCTCTGCCTCGGCCTCTGAATGAACCCTCTAAACTGGCCGAAGTTGCTGGCATTTGGAAACCTTTGACTGGCACCACCCCAGCGGTTCCCTCATGTCTCCTGAAGGGGGTGGTGCGGCCTCGAAAAAACAGAGCTGGTCTTGAATTCTGCCCCACAGAAGCAGCTGAAAGTACGGTCTTTGCTGTCTCTGATTTGGTCTTGATCCTTGCTTTGAATCCTTCACCAAACAAACTTTTGCCAGCTTGTGGAAACTCTTCAGAGGCAAGAGATGATAGAGTTCCCTTTGAATTGATTTTGTTAAGGACAGCCTTGCGTCGCTCCTTAGACAAAAGTGTAGAGGCATTGCCCAATAGACGTACATGTATAGCATATGATGTGATTGCTCCAAGATCCTTCATCTGCTCATAACTGAGGATTACGTTTTCAACTGGCTTAGTTTCAGCAAGGAAGCCGTAAACATGCTCAAATAACATGGCTACCGGGCCCATGGTGTCTAACACACGATCCTGCAAAAATTTATTGTCCTTGTCGACAGTCTTGACACCAGGCAAGAGTGATGAGAGATAGTTATCCAAAGAGGGAGTGTAAACACAATCAACATCTGGTACTTTTTAGTAATTGCTTTTCTCTCAAAGGTAGACAATGGCTTATGCAATGTGCCTAAGAATGCTGATAACTGTTCACTTGCTTGCCGGCGAGCGCTATGGCAAAGTTCATAGTGTTCGTCATCCTCTCCCATAGGATGAGAGGTGCCCGGGTTTGTACCATCCGACTCTATTACAACTACCTCGTCAGAGTAGTTTTCTGTCCCTCTTCGTGTTTTAGTCGCCGGGGTATAGGTAGTGGTGTCATTTTCATTTGCTGAGTGAGCCCTGAACACTCTGGCAGAGTTTGATTTCGTAACAGAACTTGGAGCCTTGGGTGCTCCGTAGACACAATCTTCGTGTGAAGAACCATTAAAAGCTTGCCAAAGCAAATTTAGAGCTTCTGGATCACTAAAAATGAGGGAGACAGGACGTACACTACCTTCCCCTTCCTTCGGCTCAGCTCTTTGAAGTGAGATGGCTGTATCATTTGAAGGATTGTCATCACCACGCTCAGAAGCAGACATCTTGGTTCAGAGCGAAATAAAATGGTGGATTGGTGTGGTATGGCGTAGGGACTTATGGGCTGTTTGAATTATGTTAATTATGTCAATTGTTGAAATTTGCTTTTAATGCGCTGTATTTCCGAGTGAAATAAAGTTGGTAACACATTGTTATATGAGGCAACTGTTCTGAGGTATAATCTTGTATAACATCAAGGGTCCATCAAACATACTCAGTCAAAGGGGATGTTACGAGTTACAGCAATAATTTGTATTGACATGTAATAGCCCCTGCTTTGGAGTTTCCTTACTGAACAGTAGTTCCTAGCAAAAAATACCGAAATCATAATTTGCTGTGGGCCATGAAAGGAACCTTACCAAGTTTCTTCTGATACAGTGGACGAGTGGAGTCCGTGATTGGTCCTGCAGCGGCGCCAAAGGATTTCAACTGCCTTGCAAGATCACCATCAGACAAAGCTGTCACATCGAATGGAAGACCACCTTTCACTCTTTTATTGAGTACAATCTTTTGTGGTGGCTTACTAGGAAGTTTCTGCAATTGAATTGCCATAAATAGTAAAACAGATGGTTCAGGAACACAGTCTTAGTTGCCATGTACTACTAGGCAATGGCAACGTATAATTTTCTCTCCCAAGAGTACGGTAAGAGATTAATACAGGCCAGGGTACACAGGGGTTTCATTTAGGGTAGGGCACCGGCCAAATTGACTGGCTGTGAGGTTGATTTTTCCCACCTGGTTTGTCCATCTGGAGGAAAGATTTTCTTATAAAAAAAGTTCAGTTCAAAAAGTTTTGCCTGCCTGTGAAAACCAGTTGCCCTCTGAAAAACATTAATAAAAACCCCTGGGGTACACTGTGGCTGTGCTGGAGTTGAAATCAGAATGAAAATACACAGCAATTTGCTCATATTTTTTTCTCCTAACAGCAGAAGTTCTATGGACTTTTAAAATCTCCAGTTCTTTTCCATACCAGCCAATATTAATCTGCATAGGCTTGATTACTAACTGCTGTTCAGGAAAATGACCCTGCACATCTTCCCCTGAACTCCCTTTTCAGAGGGAACCTTCAGAACCAGGCCCAAGAGAACGTCAAAAATCAAGCCTATCATCTGCATCATTTCCTGCACTTGCAAACAGAAAGTAGAAATATTTTTTGTTGACACAATGTGAGCAGTTCTTGACTCATTTTTTATATTATTCTTTTATTTGTGCAGAGGAATTTACACGTAATGCAATGCAAATTAGACAGTCATGTCATAGGTAATTTTGCGCTCTTGTCTGCCACAAATACTTTTCATATTGCCTCAAACAAGTTCTGAGACATTTCACATGCTTGTCTGATGTGTAACCAGGGCACCACATACGGAGTAGACACATACGGAGTAGCAAATCGGTGTACATACATTGTGTGACATTTGCAGACTACATTTGGGACAAAATAGCATTCTGGTTAGCCTGAATAGCGCTCAGGTTAGCCTGTTTACAGTTAGCTCTTGGTAAACGAATTGGGAATACTTACATGTAAGAACATGAAGACTTAAAAAGTCTGCAGTCTGCAAATGTCATACACCGGTAGAAAATATAACAAAATCTTTTGTAAAATGGAGAACAAGAACTACTTGCCAGCTAGAAGTAATGATAGTTAACCTAAGATTGTATTGTATTCCTCTGATACTGGGAAAACTGTTTACTAACAATCACCAATTTTACTGCACCTCAAGACTTCAGAAACAAGTTACAACTTTCATTCTATTCTGTTTGATTGGCATTATCTGTTTGATTAAATAAAGGTTTTTGCCAACTAGCTGACTAGCAACAATTAACATCATTGTGCAAGCTATTGTTTTTAAATCGGTTTATAATAATTAATTATACCCAACAAAATAAAAACGCCCAAAAAGACCCATTTAGCAATAAAGGGAAGTAAGATTAAGGAAAATTCGACATCTGCGCTACATTTATGTGTAAGCTTATTACTTTTTGACATTTACAACCAATTTATTCCTCACCTGCTCTGGCATTTTGAAGTACAGAAATAACAATAACAAACGATGCCAAGTTCTGTTTGCTAGAGTTTAACCATTGTTTGTATTCTACGCGCCTGCAAACGCATGGATATTCGCCGATTTTGAGAGTTGGAAACGATAAAAGATTGAGAAGAACATCAAAAGCTTAGCAAGGAGAAAATCCCTGAGACGAAACCTCTCGTACGTTTTCCAAGCTTAAGGAAATAAAGCCGCATTCTGAATGAAACCTGCTGTTTGGCTTGGAACAACAAATCACAACGAGTTTGAAAACGCACAAGTTAACCGCGTCAAAACCGCAGACGCTTATACCAGACCCATACTGCAAACGTCCTCCAAGCTATCTTAAAATATTAAAATATTACAGTAGAATACATTAATGAAGAGCTCGAGTACCTCACTGGCTCGCATCGGAGAATACTCGGACGATTCATCATCATCTGATGAAAATTCCTCGTCGTCGTCTTGGGAAGTCAAGTGCTCGAGGTACAAGTCGACATAGAAAGCTTTCTTTTGCTCCGCTCTCGGCAGAGGAATATTGTTGGCTCTCAAGGCACTCTTTAATCTTTCCTTTGTTAGCAGATGTGGAGTTTTGGAGAAGGTTGACATTCTGTAAAATGCACTAAAACTTACCAAGACAAGAGCACGATTTTGTTCAAAATCGGAAAATCAAGGAAATTTTGCGAAAGCGCGCCATCGGTAATCGCCTCTGCGCATACTCCATAGCCCCGACCGCTAGCATCGCGTGCTCGCGTGAGTGCAAAATGGCGGATTAATGAGCAGTGGAGTTGTGGTGAAATTTTCTTGTTGAAAAATGGCTCTTCCTCCTGCAAAGGAAGGCGAAAAGACGTTGGCGCTTTGCCGCTTATCAGGTAACCATCTTAGTGTACTTTTGTAATGCGCTAAGCGCACTCGTGACCAAGCATGCGTTATGAATGAAATTAGAGGAACAGTCGATACAATTTTCGAGAAAAGATTTAAAAAGTAGTGATGCAGGATCGCAACATTACAATATATAGGCTTTATTTTCGTCCAGATGAGAAATTTCCCAATCTGGGATATAACTTTTTAATTACATTGTATAATGTAGATTGGTACACAAGCACATAGAAGCTTACACTGTATATGGTTATCAAATGTAACTTTTTTCAGCTCTTCCTGTACAATCTGTTTGTATTTCTGTATTCATTTACTCTATATTCTGAAGATCTTTGGGGTGGGTTTTCAAATTGTGATGTACGTGTATTGGTGCAGCCTTCCCTTATCATGCCATCAACCAGAAATATTTTGTTATTTATTTGTCTATTTATTTTAATTTTTGTCATAGCGCCATCCTCTCTTCGATTTGAGCCAGTTGGCCGATGGTATGAAGCTAACATTCATCGGCGTCAACATGGCCTTTCCTCGCACCACTCCAGCTCCAGTGCTAGTTCCAGTGCCAGCTCTGAGGGAGGTTATTCTTCAGATGAAGAAGATCACAGATTTCTCCTAACTTTGGATCCTACAGATTGGAAGGTAGAGTGTTAAAATTGGTAGACTATGAGTAGTCCCTCTTTCGCTTAGTCTGTCATGTGTGACGCGAAAGAACACTGCAAGAAAAAAATGGCCACGTGAAATCCTGGGGGCGAGGAGCACGTGAAAGGAGGCACCGCTGCCTAAGCCCAAGAGTTTGCCCTTTCACGGCCGAGTGATTTTTCGGTGTAGAATTTCTCATCTTGACGTCCTCTTATTATCGCCTGTTGTCAATA